GACAATAAACAAAAATGAAATAACAAAGCCTGTCTTAGGTGAGTAACTGAAAGTCATTGCTCGCTCACCTAAACAGCATTTAAACGCCACTTTTGCTTTATGTGTTCCTTTTAAACAGTTTTGTAAATCTATTGCACATCTGTTGCCTCATTTGCATTTATGGGGTGTAACAACCTGAAGAGCTATGATTAGTTATAGCAATACCCATCAAGGGAAATGGTAAAGAAATAAATGGACTGAGAAGAGGTAGTATTTTTTATTAACATCAATGCTCCTTTTATATATATATATAAAACAAATAAAACAGCTGCAATGTAATTATTGGAGCATTTTCTAGGGGAACAAAAGACAAACAATGAATAATGAAGAAAACAATGAATAAATGAACTTCAAAATTGCATTGTTATTCAAATAAATAAACATTTAATTTCTTAACAATTTCAAATATACACACTTGAATAAAATAAAGCTATGATTTGTAATAACAGATCTTGTTTTTGTTGTTTGTTTTTTTTACTTTTTTGGAATCAAATAATGACAATCCTAGACATGTACTGGTGTAAGATTGAAGTGAACAGGTTGATATTTTCTTGTTATTCTAAAAAACTTGTGAGTTTAATTGATCCTTTGGTAAAAGTTGATATAACTTGGATGTTTCACACTGGATAACCCTGTAATGATAGAAATAAACCATCTATGTTCTAGTTTATGCATGATTAAAACATCGGTTTGACATTCTGCAGCACAAGGCAGTGTTGTATTACCATTAACATACAAACATCATGTCATAACACAGCGGCAAAGCCTTTAGGATTTAAAATATAACAAAATTACTTTGTAGGAACAGCTTTAAACTTTACTGGAAGTAAATGGGCTGATGTAGATGGTATTTATTCAGTGACAAACACTGCCACTCTGTGGCCATTAGCTGTTCTTGAGCCACTTACAGATCCACTAAGAAGTAAACCATATATGAAACCATCTGGTAGAAATTAAACTCAAGTGAGCCAAAGCTGGTGCAGCCCTGTCAAACACAAAGCAGTGATTTCAAACAATGTTCTTAATGACTTCAGCCTGTTTTAGAGCTGGGTGATTATTCAATAAAAATCCAATCATTCTTTTTTTTTTTTTTTGCTTATGGTGATTACATTTTTGGAAAATCTGGATTTTTTTTTTTAACCAGTCAACTAGTCAGCTATCTTTTAAGAGAAATGCAGTGTGCAAAAAAATGTACCTATTCACTTTGAATAAAAAAGAAAATATTCAAATAGGAAAAAAACAATTCTTTTTTGAGACTAAACATTTATAAATCCTGGAAAACCAGGCTTTAAATCACAAAGATGATCAATCCTACTATCATAAACTGCAAAAAGGTTTCTGCCATTACTAAATAAATCCAATTAACCATACCACTATTGAATTAAATATCACTTTAAATCAGTCTATGGAGGGTGTAATGTCTAATCATGTATTTCTGCAAAGGCAAGAACACCCAAAGGTGTAAAATGTTGTTCGAGGCTACTCAGAGCCCCCTGCTGGCCAAATAGAAAAAAAAGACGTGGGGACATCTGGCTGCTAAAAAGTCCTGTGTCCACAGACATTCTAATTATATCTATATATGTCTGGGACTAAAGGTTGATGACAGAATCAGTGAATAATGACATTTTCTGCAGTTGCTTGTTAATGCTTCATCTAAGTGTACAATTCCTCTGAGCTAAATTTCTGCTTATCTGAAAATAACTGAAGCTAACTAATAAATAATACATATCATTATACCTATAACATATTTAACATACAAAAGGGAAATTGGAACAAAATACATTTGGCTGAATGTAGATTGTGAAAAAATCATTAGTGTAGGAAAAATATACAAAAAAAAATACAAACAAAAGATTCAAAGTATAGGTTGTTTTTTTTTACTTTTTTTTTTTTTTTACTTTTCTGTCACACTTTCAGGAGAGCCAGCTACCAACAATACTAATAGTGAACACATTCAGGAAAATAACCCAGATTAACAACTAACAAATTCTGTATATATATATGCATATGTAAAAACTAAATCCGAGTAAAGTGAAAATCCAAGTAAAGTGATACGTGGCGTGCAAAATAGTGCATAAATGTCAATTACAGTGTTGAAGATCTAATAGATCCAAAATGCTGCAGCCAAAGTTCTGATGAAAATTAAAAAGAGAGATCATACAGGTGCTGGTCATAAAATTAGAATATCATGAAAAAGTAGATTGATTTCAGTAATTCCATTTAAAAAGTGAAACTTGTATATTATATTCATACATTACATACAAACTCATATATTTCAGATGTTTATTTTGTTTAATTTTGATGATTACAAATGACAACAAATGAAAATCTCAAATTCATCATATCAGAAAGTTAGAATATTGTGAAAAGGTTCAAAATTGATGGCCCCTGGTGCCACACTCTAATCAGCTAATTAACTCAAACCACCTGCAAAAGCCTTTAAATGGTCTTTCAGTCTAGTTCTATAGGCTACACAATCATGGGGAAGACTGCTGACTTGACAGTTGTCCAAAAGACGACCATCGACACCTTGCACAAGGAGGGCAAGACACAAAAGGTCATCGCTAAAGAGGCTGGCTGTTCACAGAGCTCAGTGTCCAAGCACATTAATAGAGAGGCGAAGGGAAGGAAAAGATGTGGTCGAAAAAAGTGTACAAGCAAGAGAGATAACCGCACCCTGGAGAGGATTGTGAAACAAAACCCATTCAAAAATGTGGGGGAGATTCACAAAGAGTGGACTGCAGCTGGAGTGAGTGCTTCAAGAACCACCACACACAGACGTATGAAAGACATGGGTTTCTGCTGTCGCATTCCTTGTGTCAAGCCACTCTTGAACCACAGACAGCGTCAGAAGCGTCTTGCCTGGGCTAAAGAGAAACAGGACTGGACTGCTGGTGAGTGGTCCAAAGTCATGTTCTCTGATGAAAGTAAATTTTGCATTTCCTTTGGAAATCAAGGTCCCAGAGTCTGGAGGAAAAGAAGAGAGGCACTTCATCCACGTTGCTTGAAGTCCAGTGTAAAGTTTCCACAGTCAGTGATGGTTTGGGGTGCCATGTCATCTGCTGGTGTTGGTCCATTGTGTTTTCTGAGGTCCAGGGTCAACGCAGCCACATACCAGGAAGTTTTAGAGCACTTCATGCTTCCTGCAGCTGACCAACTTTTTGGAGATGCAGATTTCATTTTCCAACAGGACTTGGCACCTGCACACAGTGCCAAAGCTACCAGTACCTGGTTGAAGGACCATGGTATCCCTGTTCTTAATTGGCCAGCAAACTCTCCTGACCTTAACCCCATAGAAAATCTATGGGGTATTGTGAAGAAGAAGATGCAATACACCAGACCCAACAATTCAGAAGAGCTAAAAGCCACTATTAGAGCAACCTGGGCTATCATAACACCTGAGCAGTGCCACAGACTGATCGACTCCATGCCACGCCGCATTGCTGCAGTAATACAGGCCAAAGGAGGCCCAACTAAATACTGAGTGCTGTACATGCTCATACTTTTCATGTTCATACTTTTCAGTTGGCCAACATTTCTATAAATCCTTTGTTTTTATTGGTCTTCAGTAATATTCTAATTTTCTGATATGATGAATTTGAGATTTTCATTTGTTGTCATTTGTAATCATCAAAATTAAACAAAATAAACATCTGAAATATATGAGTTTGTATGTAATGTATGAATATAATATACAAGTTTCACTTTTTAAATGGAATTACTGAAATCAATCTACTTTTTCATGATATTCTAATTTTATGACCAGCACCTGTATCTCTCCTAGCCTGGCTTCTCTTCATTGCCTTCCTGTTAAATCCAGAATAGAATTTAAAATCCTCCTTCTAACATATAAAGCCTTAAATGGCCAAGCTCCATCTTACATCAGATATCTGACTGTTCCTTATGTCCCTAACAGAGCACTTCGCTCTCAATCTGCAGGTTTACTAGTGGTTCCTAGAATTTCTAAAAGTAAAATGGGAGGCAGATCTTTTAGTTATCCTGTGGAACCAACTACCAGTTTTAGTCCATGATACAGACACCCTGTCTACTTCTACAGTAAGACTAGGCTTAAAACGTTCATTTTTGATAAAGCTTATAGTTAGAGGGGCTCAGGTTATCCTGAGCTATCTCTATAGCTATGCTGCTGTTGGAGGACATAGGGACCCTTTTTCATTATTCCGCTTCATTCTATCTCTATTCTCCCATTCTGCAGAATTTGTTAGTTCAATCTCTAACGTTCTGCTCTCTCTGCTTTTTTTGATAGTAGCTTCATCCGGTCTGTTCCTGTTTGACTGTGACTCCATCCTGGAGAGAAATATCAGCTGTGCTGCTGCCATCAATGCCTTTGTTTGTGGATGATGGCGCTTGACCTATTTTTCAGTGTAGTCCTGGTTCTCTAACTGTCACTAACTGTATGTGCTCTCTTTCATCCTTTGACATAGGAGCTGGTTTGGAGCTCTTCTGCCTGACTCTGTGTTTACTGGACGGGGCCGCCTGTGGAGCTGGTTGACATATGCCTTTTGTATCTCTGCTTCTTTCTGTAAGCGGCCTCGGCAGATGGCCACTCACACTGAGTCCGGTTCTGCTGGAGGTTTCTTCCTGTAAAAAAGGAGTTTTTCCTCTCCACTGTCACTACAAGCATGCTTGGTGTGAGGGATTGCCTTCAAGTCACTGAATGATGCAATCAACTGGTTTTCTTTAGATAGAAAACTTTGAATCAGTCTGACTTTATGATCGAATTGTCTCTATAGAGTGCCTTGGGTGGACATGTTATGTGAGTTGGCAATATATAAATAAACTGAATTGAATTTAAAGTATAAGCAAGAGATTGGGAAAAAGAAGCATCCTTAGCTAGAAAGACGTTGCTGATGTGCGCTTTTACCACATCCGCTTTGCCCTGACATTATCTGTAAACTGCTGCGCTTTTCAAATGAAAATCTACCTCCTAACATCCGGTGCTGCTGACTGCCTCCAGCTGGTTTGACGCAGCTCGGAGGAGTCCCTGCCCAGCTCCAGCTGTTCTCCCCGCTGCTTTGCCCCGCTGCCTCCGCTCCGCTGCCTATCCTCGTTTCAAATGTCACGGCGATCATGACAGGCATCGCGGCTGTTTCCTTCTTCTCCAACGCTTGCAGCTTCGCCGGCTGCGGGCTTCATTTTGACTCCCTGTCTGAGCTCATCATGCACATCGAGGATAACCACATCGGTAAGAGCAGCACGCAGCACCCAGCGCCCTGCCACGGCCGAAGCTAGCAGACGTGGCTACTGAAGGCTATAGCTAACAAGTTACTTCCTGCGTCCTAGCAACGCGGTTGCTAGGTGGGGTGGTTGTTGATGTTCCGCTGCTTCCTGTTCGTTTCGAGGAGGAAAGCTGCGCGACTTTCCGTGTCAATGTTACACCGACAGAAGTGGACTAATAGGATAAGAAAGAGTAATGGGGGAGAAAGTTTCTCTAAGTGTGGGCAACATCAAGGCAAGGCCCCGCGCACAGATCAAAGTGCCGCTTAGAGACTTGAATCATCAGGTTGCGCTGAATAGTTAGCAGCGTTATGTTTGCCTGGCAGCGTCATGTGACCAAACTAATAACACAAGTTTAGAGCTTGCTGCTGCTACTTTAATCCACTTTATAAAGTTCCAGCTTGTCTTAGAATAAAACACATAGTATTTATAAACATTATAAGTGATTTTTGTGCCCCTTTCTTTGCAAACACCTCTTGATGGATAATCATTATGGCAGATTTATTTTGTCATTTTGTACACACGAGTGTAAACAAAAAGAAATTTCGTTTAGAACAGCTCTAGACAACTCATTTTTAAAGTGCAGCCTTGAAAACAGTAATAAATGCATAAAATAAGTAATATAAACATATCACTGTACATTTACAGTTCTAAACATTCCTTTTTTTAAATAAATAAAATAACCCACAGTAATAAATACATTAGAAAATAGTAATATAAACACATGACTGTATATTTAGAGTTCTAAACATTCATTTTTTTAAATAAATAAAATAACCCACAGTAATAAATACATAAAAAATAGTTATATAAACACATGACTGTATATTTAGAGCTCTAAAAATTCATTTTATTAAATAACTAAAATAACCCACAGTAATGTATACATTAAAAAATAGTAATATAAACATATGACTGTATATTTACTGTTCTAAACATTAATTTTTTTAAATAAATAAAATAACCCACAGTTATATATACATTAAAAAATAGTAATATAAACATATGACTGTATATTTACAGTTTTAAACATTAATTTTTTAAAATAAATAAAATAACCCACAGTAAGAAATACATAAAAAAAATAGTAATATAAATATATGACTGTATATTTACAGTTCTAAACATTCTTTTTTTTTTCAAATAAATAAAATAACCCATTTTACATAACATTCAGCTGTCTAGTGGCTTGTAGTCCCTTCATTCTTTTACAACTGAGTTAATCTACACCCTAAATATGAGATTATAACATACTTTGTATCTTGTGGTCTCGTTTCTTGAAAAAAGTTTTAAAAAATGTATTTTAAATCAGGGTTAAATTTGTTCTAATTGATTTTGACATTAAACAATTATTGAACCAATCCTCAATTAGGCTTCTTTAGAATAAAAAAAAAAATCATTAGTTAAAATGTACAAATTCTGAAACATGTACTTTGCTGAAAGCACCATCAAATCAAACAACAATGTACAAAAACTACATCATGTTTTAATGAAGAAGCTTTTTTGACTGCAAATATGATTTATCCAGAAATCCTCCTGTGGCATAATTTTAGCTTGATGTGTTTCAGATTCTGTTAATAATCTTCTATTCAGCTCCTTTTGCTATCTGATTATTAGTTGAAAAATAGTCAACAGACTACTCCATTAGCAAAATAATAATTAGGGCTGGACAATATATCAAGACCTGAGACTCTGATTTTCTTCTTTTTTAAAGATTTAAAAAATGGGATTGTATCAATTATATCAATGTCTATATTTCCTTGTAATTATACTTTCCTATAGTAGGTTTGTTAAAAAGAGTAATTGTGTGACATTTGGGAAAAAGCTTTAATATTGATGTGTCTTTTCATAAATGAGTTCTTAAAAGAAAACATTGTGATATTCATATATGATAAATATTTAGATGAAAAATACAGAGATATTTATTTTGGTCCATATCGGCCAGTCTTGTTATAAAGTTCTGTTTGCTAGTAATGCACTTTATTAATCAGAAAAAAACATGAAATCATATTATTAGATAACAGAAAGATTTCAATTGTTACTACATCTGCCTGGAATATTTATTTTGTTATTTCTGTTTTAATATTAATCAATAACAGTTTTTGTCATTTTCTTGTTATTTTTGGTTTTGATGTTTTGAGATTTGCAAATATATAGATTAATAATACAACATGGTAATTATGCAGAATATAATTCCCTCTTGCAGGATTGTTCTTTATCAGGTAACACTGTGTTTCTAAAACAGGTGATATTAGCTAATTTTAGCAGACCTGGAGTTGCCAGATAAGCTTCTTAAGTTTAGATTTAAAATAGAGCTACTTTAAGAGGAGTAATTTTTTGTATTCTTTTGGTTTCCACATAAATAAGTACGTATATATTTTTTCACTGCTAGAACTGGTTGTGAACCAGAGGGAAACCTGACCAGTTTATTCGTGATGTACAGCAACAGGTCGGGGAGGAGGGTTGCTGGGTTGCTCTATACTCAATGCATGCTGAGAAAACTCCAATTGCTTCAGTATATGCTGATGCTTTGGCAACTTAGGTCTTGACAACACTATAACAGAACATTTTAGAAGTTTAGAAAGCTTAACTCTGTACATCCTTAGTATACCTATAGACGTAACTGGCTGAGTCTATTTAAGTTATTTGCTTATGAAGAAGTGAAACACTGTACATTATTTGAGAAAAAAAAACAAAAACAAAAACTAACCTGAAATACTGCTTACTTACATATTCCTGTTTGTTTTTTTCTGAAAGGTTCTTAAACCCATTTACTTTGATATTATTTTCACAAGGTTCGTAATTTACAAAGATTCTAAATTAGTTAATTCTATACACACATCAAAAAACTATTTAGACATTGATTTGTGTTGTTTTGAGCCTGGTATATATCAGATAAAGTATCATGAGTTATGCTTTGATGCATAAATGAAGATAATCTCTTTTGATTTTCTCATCCTTTTAAACGTGTTTTGTCTATTAAGAGATCTGGAGCTTGTTGTTTTTCCTTCTACGGTCAATGTTTGCTAGTTTACAGAAATGTGTGTTTATGTGTTGCAGTACTTAAAAAGGAAATTACATTTACTAAAACTGAAATTGGTACTCATCAAATTCTGACTGATTATGTCTTTAAAAGGAAGTTTAAGATTGCATATAAACAAGGCACATAAGCCAACAACACATCTGCTGCTCCAGTTCAAATGGTTAACAGATGGTGTCATATTAAGATAGTATCCAAACTCACTCAAAGCACTGCCCTTATTTTTGTTGTGCAACTCATATTACACAAACAGAATGCATACAGTATAAAGAACCTTTGTTCTTTATACTGTATGTATAAAGAACATCGTTCTACAGGTGAGAAAATCACATGATCCATCAAAAAAAGCGTATGCAACACAAACACAAGAACAGATGACTACTACAGTAATGGCAAATTAGCATCACAAGAAAAAATAATTTCTATTGCTATTGTTTCTTCAAAATAGCATCATCCAACAATGATGATGTAAATACCTGGACATATTTTGAGCCATACAAAAATTAAAATACTTATTTTTCTTAAAGAGTGAGAACAAAATCAGAACAGCCCAGATAGAAACACTTCTTGAGTTATATTGTACTGTAACAATGACTGTTATAAAGTCCCCCATGCAAGTGTTGGCATAAGGGAGAGTGTTGGCCTAATGGTTAGAGCAGTGCACTTGTGCTTTTAGAAGGTTGCAAATACCAGGTTCAATCACCACATCCTGCCCTCTGGGTCCCGGAGCAAGACCCTTAACCCCACACTGCTCTCAGGGTGCTGCACAATGGCAGCTCACTGCTCCCCAAGGGGATGGGTTAAATGCAGAGGTAAATTTCTCCAGTGTGAGATCAATAAAAGTTAAACTGCTGAAAAGAAATATTTGCAGTAATGCTCATTTTTGCACCTAGGGTAGAGTAATTTGTCAAAAAAATTTGTCAAAACATAACCTTGACATATAGGCGTCACAGCAAAAAAAAAAAAAAAAAAAAAAAAATATATATATATATATATATATATATATATATATATATAAAATTGCAGTCTGATTTAGAGCCAGCAGTACCTTTTAATTGCTGTGTTTTCTAGTTTTAGAAAGAAGAAAAAACTGGATTGTGATTCTTATTAAAATGGAAATCCGTCAGGAAAAGCCTGATTGGTCCACCTCTTATTCCAAAGTGGCAAAGCGGTCTTAAATTGAATGACAAATCTCAAATTGAAGTCAATATTTTGAAATGAAAAGAATGTGTCCTCTGTTTTTTATTTCTTTTGAATTTTGTATTTTTTTATAAATGGATTACAGGCTGTTTGACTGAAACAAAGAGAACCAAGACATGCATCCATCAAACTATCTATTAGTACTTTTTTTCCCCTGCATTTGTATATTGTTTGTCAGCATGCTAAACAACAATGTCCTTTTCCCACAGCTTGACTTTCAACTCCGGCATCTGCTCTCCTGATCCAATATTTCAGACTCTTATTATTGAAGGTGACAGGGCTCAGCTGCCTCTTTTGTTCTTGTTTGTTGCCTGATTGCCTTTAATATCCTTAGACTGGTGCTGTGTGTGCATATGCCAGAGGTGTTAGTATTAGAAAAAAGAAAATGTGGCTTTCAAATGACTTACTAGGGAATAATGAAGCAATTAGTTGGCTCAAAGTGGAAAAACTTTGCCCCCCCACCCCTGCAGCCTCCCCTGTCTACAGGCCTGTGTGCGCTAATAGAAGTGCGAAATCTTACGCGTTCTGCCAAGTGCATGTGAAGCTTAATTACAGAGGGGGTGCCTGATTTGGCATGTCTTCCTCCTCATCTGGTGGCCTGTTGCTTAAGGCTTCATTCTCCCATTGTAATTAGGCGCCTGATAATAAGCACACATTCCTGTGCTTGAGCTGTGCAGCCAGGCTGTCTGAGTCTGTGAACAAAAGGGGGCACTGCTTGCCTGTTGATT